AAGGCTCTGGCAGTGGGGAAGGGCTCTGCATGCTCCTTGTTTGCTGGAGATCTTCTTTACCCCAGTGAAAAGCTCTCGTAGCGGGAAGCTAATGAAGCCTTTCCCCATTGCCTCCCCTCTGTCAGAACCTTTCGTTGATGTGTAGCCACACACCGCAGTGTTGCTGCAACTTGCATTTCACTGCAGCATGTCGCTCCAGTTGCGCTCTGGCAGTGGGGAAGGGCTCTGCATGCTCCTTGTTTGCTGGAGATCTTCTTTACCCCAGTGAAAAGCTCTCGTAGCGGGAAGCTAATGAAGCCTTTCCCCATTGCCTCCCCTCTGTCAGAACCTTTCGTTGATGTGTAGCCACACACCGCAGTGTTGCTGCAACTTGCATTTCACTGCAGCATGTCGCTCCAGTTGCACTACTTGCCATTGCTAGGGGTGGGGAGTGTAGGCCCATTTGGCGTGTAAACGTTGCCTAAGAAAGTATCAGTTAGCTTTATAGTAATTTGGAAAGGTCTTTTTTGTCACGTGTACCACATATTACCCGAGGGAATAACTTACAAAATGGTCCTGTTGAGTGGTCTCTGAATAAAAGCTAATTGTGGTTCTCTGATGTCGGTCTGAAAATGTTCATTGCCACAGCTTATCTATCTTTGTGGTTATCATAGTTTGTAAACTATAGGAGACTAAAAATATAAATACAGAAAATAATTAACATGGCTGTTAAATCACTTCCTAATTGACAACCTGTTTACATATGAGAAAAAAAAATGACCTTAGAATAGGAAGCTCAGGTTGGTAAATCCCTAATGTCCTATGCAGAATGAATAAGGGAGAGGAATCTCCATTTAGAAAATAAAGAAGAAACAAGAAGGGTTTGCCTATGCTGAATGATGAAAATTAGAGTGCAGATCGGATTTGAAGTCAGTAAGGTCAGGTATAAACTTAATTTGTAAGTAAGTAAAACAATAGCTCAGTCAATTTTTGCACATTTAAACTGCTATGAAAATAGCTGTTGTTTCTGGTAGATATGTCTCTTACAAGACATAAAAAAAGAAGCAAACTTAAGTCAAGGAGGAAGCATGGGTTGATTTAGTATCCTTGCGCTTAATAGTATTAATGCTTTTAAACTTTAAAGCTGTCAACATTATTGCAACTAAAAATCTTGAGACCAACCCAAGAAGTAACAATATAAAATCTTTAAAAGTAAAAATGTTTGAATTTTTTTATAGCTCCGTGCTAATGCCCTGATCAAACGAGGCAGTATGTATATGCAGCAGCAACAGCCTATGCTATCTACGCAAGATTTTAACATGGCTGCTGATATTGACCCTCAGAATGCAGATGTGTACCACCACAGAGGACAGGTAAAAGCTGCATTGCACAGAGTTCTTTTAAGTTTAAATATTTGATTAGTTTGAACTAAGGGAAACAGAGCACAAAAATCAATAAATTATTATACACACTTGATATGGTGCATGACAAAAACTATGAATTCTATCAGTAATATGCTGATAACCATAACATTAAATCCACTAGAAATAGAAAGGAGTGGATGTTTACGTATCTGGTAATAGTTAAAAATATAGGCAAAATTCACTTTGACTAAACGGTTCCGTTCATGAGTTAGATAGCAATTTAATACAGAATGTGGCTTTGAACTGTTGAAATAAGATCATATTAAACAAAAACACCAGTTGTTTATTACTTTTGAGAGGAGTGAAACTTCTGTTCAGCTTGACTTGGCAAATATAAAATAAATGCCTGGTGAATGAAAAGGAAGAATTTGAACTCTAAGTTTGTTAAAAGATATTTTAAAATGCAAGGTTAGAGAACTAAGATTATATTATGAATCTCCAGATAATCCATTAGTATCACCTGAAGTGAAGCCAAGTGGCTTTGTAAAATAAAGCACGAAGTGTGTGCAACATGTAAATACACAAAATCTGTGCCATAGTATTAGTGTAGACAACCAACATCAGAAATAAGAAAAAGGAGGTGCAGACTTATAGGCTGTATGTTTATATTTGAACACTGCCAGCTGTAAATGAAGCCAGAGGTCAATTTCTTTGACAGCAGTTTTGCACATTTAGTGGCAGGGACTTTCCTGAAGGGTTTATGCTACAGTTGTACGACTGAAAAACAGCTTCTTCACATAACTAACTAGTAAAACATAGAAGTACTGCTTAAAATAAAACACAGACTAAATGCAGAATTAGGATTTATTCTCTCACCTTAGCTGAAAATCCTACTTGATCATGTTGAAGAAGCTGTGGAAGACTTTGATGAATGTATTCGATTACGACCGGATTCTGCGTTGGCACAAGCACAGAAATGTTTTGCATTGGTAAGCATATCGTTTGTATGTTGGGTTTTTTGCTGTTTTCACTGAACTTGTCCAGGTTTATTTTGATGTTTTGGTTTCCTGTTTTCATCTTAAATGAACAGAAAAATCATGCATCAATATTTTTTGCAATCCTTGGATATCAAATTCAAGAACTAATGGCAAACTTTTTATTCAGCCTTTTGTTCATCTTGTCATTTCTTATAAATTTTCTGTATTTGGGCAAGTACCCTATCAATAGGGTATCAATACTTACCATATCAATGCTTTTACAAGTGTCTATTTATCAACATCCTGTAACAAAGCAATACCATTTTTTCTCATTAATCACATCAAATGCAGCTGTTTACTAATGCAACTGGAAAAAACAAGATGGTCTTCTAGAAGTATCTATTTTAAGCAAGTGGATACTCCACCTTTATTAGAGACTTTGCAGGGGAGAGCTGGCATAATGGGAGCAAGCAGAGATCCACATCTTCTGGAGGGAGGCTGCTGGTGACTACCATGCCTCCCCATCATGCCAAAGGTCCATGCTACTGGATGGGTGGAAGTGTGGCCAACTCTTACAAACACTGACTTAGCAGCATGTATGGCCTGTGTACCACTTTGTGTAATTTGCTTATGGTCGTATTAGATATCATTTAACTCCCTCTTGGGAGGCTGATTTCCTGCCTTATATTCTTATTATGTTTTTTACTCTGTTCTTTAATAGTATCGCCAGGCCTACACAGGAAATAATCCTTTACAAGTTCAGATAGCCATGAAAGGCTTTGAGGATGTCATTAAAGCTTTCCCAAGGTGTGCTGAAGGCTATGCACTCTATGCTCAGGTGTGTTTGATCTTTTCTGTGTTATAAACTAATTGTTTTATTCAGATAGGAACCATATACCCTAAGCAAGTAAAATTTGGCATAGCTGCATTAAGTACACTTGTTTATATGGTTTTGCATTACAGGCAGTCCCCGGGTTACGTAGATCTGACTTACATCGGATCCCTACTTACGAACGGGGTGAGGGAACCCCGAACTAGCTGCGTCCCCCCGCCCCAAGCAGACCTCCAAGACGCGCTGCGGCAGTCCCGCCGCCTGCGTCCTCCGCGGCAAAAGCCGCTCCGTGGCTCCCTGGTCTGCTGGGGGGGGGGGGGGGGCCCCCCAGCAGACCAGGCTTTTCTCTCCGCGGAGGACGTGGGCGGCGGGACTGCCAAGACGCGCCACAGTCCCACTGCCCGCGTCCTCCGCGGCAAAAGCCGCTCCGTGGCTCCCTGGTCTGCTGGGGGGGGGGGGGGGGCCCCCCAGCAGACCAGGCTTTTCTCTCCGCGGAGGACGTGGGCGGCGGGACTGCCAAGACGCGCCACAGTCCCACTGCCCGCGTCCTCCGCGGCAAAAGCCGCTCCGTGGCTCCCTGGTCTGCTGGGGGGGGGGGGGGGGCCCCCCAGCAGACCAGGCTTTTCTCTCCGCGGAGGACGTGGGCGGCGGGACTGCCAAGACGCGCCACAGTCCCACTGCCCGCGTCCTCCGCGGCAAAAGCCGCTCCGTGGCTCCCTGGTCTGCTGGGGGGGGGGGGGGGGCCCCCCAGCAGACCAGGCTTTTCTCTCCGCGGAGGACGTGGGCGGCGGGACTGCCAAGACGCGCCACAGTCCCACTGCCCGCGTCCTCCGCGGCAAAAGCCGCTCCGTGGCTCCCTGGTCTGCTGGGGGGGGGGGGGGGGCCCCCAGCAGACCAGGGAGCCACGGAGCGGCTTTTGCCGCGGAGGACGCAGGCGGCGGGACTGCCGCAGCGCGTCTTGGAGGTCTGCTTGGGGCGGGGGGACGCAGCTAGTTCGGGGTTCCCTCCCCCCGTTCGTAAGTAGGGATCCGATGTAAGTCAGATCTACGTAACCCGGGGACTGCCTGTATAAGAAAGGATGACTGGAGTTAACAATCAGTTGACTTTAAGTTATCTGAATGCATACACTGGTACCCTGACTTCAGATGGGTAATGCAGGTGGGGAGCAGAATAGAATTCCTGTTACGTTTGTGTGTGTTTATCAGCAAAAGTTGCGGAAGACAAGAATTCTTAAGTGTGAGGCATAGCTAACAGCCTGAGAATTGTACTCTCACTGGTTTATTGTTCCTCACACACAGTATAATTAGAACAGGTTATTGTGCTCCTGCCATTATGCATATTGTCAATACTGATTTGTGTGGTTAAAGCTCCACAGCATGTTTCTAAAAGAGTTGATCAGCCAAAAGGCCAAAAATATTGATTTTTGGAAAGTAACAATGGTGATTAACTTGTACTTGTGTCTGCCCATACCTATGATGAAAGTTCCAAATTGGGAGGGAATGGCACTGACATAGTTTTAAAGACCTCTAGATTTGCACAGTGTGTTGGTTATTCATTTTTTTAAGAGTTTCTCTTCTCATGCAGGCATTAACAGATCAGCAGCAATTTGAGAAGGCTGATGAAATGTATGATAAATGTATTGACCTTGAGCCAGACAATGCTACTACGTATGTTCATAAAGGGTATGTATTGAGCCACTGTTTCTGCGTTTCTAAATAAGTTGCTGTTTTCAGACCTTATCGCCTGATTACATATATTTGCTTTAAAAGTAGTTTAGTACTTTCAGTGTTATCAAAATAGCAGTATAATGAAATGTAAATCAAACTGAAATTTCAGTAGGTTTTATTAGCATGCATTCCAAAGCCCATACCTACTTGATATCAATGTAAGAATGGTAGTTTACAAACCTTAAAACTTCTTTATGCTGTAGATAACTACTCTAAAATGGAACCTTATGCTCCAAATTTTCATGATGACAAAAACAATTTGTGGCTGACCCTCCTAATGGAAAGAATTATATACATATGAGGAGGAGATCATTTCTCTTTGTTGTCCTTTAATTGCCCACAGTCTGTTGTTTACATTAGTTTTTAAAGTATCTTTTCATAAGTAAAGTGAAAATTATTGCCCCCTTGCATAAGGAACTTAATTGTTTTATGTGGGATATTCACATTTCGTAAGATAGGCAGGACTATATAGAATATATAGAAATAAATCTGGTCTTGTAACCAAAATGTGTTTTTGCAGTTTACTTCAACTTCAGTGGAAGCAGGATCTAGACAAAGGCTTGGAGCTCATAAGCAAGGCCATTGAAATTGATAACAAATGTGATTTTGCATATGAAACTATGGGAACGATTGAAGTGCAAAGGTAACATTTTAAAATATAACACTTTAATTTGCACAGACTAAAGATGCCCTGAAATTATAGTAATCCAGTAGGTTTCTTCATCACTCTTGAAAATTACTTTGTTCACACTCCTGTTCAGTACAGTGGGAAGCTATGGGCAAGGACCCAAGAGTCCTGACTTGCCTTGTGTAAAGTTTGGGGAAAGGTCTCCCTTCTCTTTGACATTTCATGTTCTAGTGTCCCCATAAACTTCCCTAATTTGCCTGGAGTTTCTATTAGTGAGATAAGTATAGTGTCTGGAAGTAACCCCTTTGTCTGTAATTGGTATAGTGCAAGTTTCAAGTGTATTCAATGAATTGCTTTCCAGGCATGATTCAAGCCTTTAACACTTACATGCTGAGAATGGGAGAAGTTAGTTAAATAAATCTTTCATACAATTTGTGAAGGGCAGCTAGATCAGCTGAGGTTCAGGTGATAGTTGAGGGTAGTAACTTGGTGTAAGTTGTTGCTTAAAAATAACCTATGCACACACCCTTGGCGTGACCTTCAAAATATCCACACCTAAGCCTATAAAAAAAAAGACTTCTCTGGCTAGGGAACTAAATACTCATCTACATGTCACTTCTTGCTCTTCAAACTCATTTCACATCCATGACTAATAGTCATTTCCTGTAATAGATCTCGATGAAAGAGGGCTCCTTAATCCAGGCCCTTTTTCCCAAGAAGCTTTGTGCAGGCACTAGGCTTCAGGCATCCTGGCCTCAACTAGCTCTTCTTAGAGGCTGAGGGTTGTGTCACCTTTCTGGGACTACTTGCATGAAATTCCAAAATAGTCTTAACACTATGATTTCAGGTTGAAACCATTTGCAGAGTATCTAATCATAAACTTGGAAGCTCAGCCAGATACTCATGGGACCTCTTTGATTTAGTTTCAGTAAAGAGTCCCTGTGCCCTTCCCTTCCCTCCCCCCAAGAGTCAGTGTGTCTTTGTGGCAAGGGCTCTGTAATGAGTCACCAGATCTGTGATCTAGTCCCAGCTGATTTACTGACTCAGTCTCCACATCTGTAAAATGGGGATAGCACTATTACCCTCCTTGGTAAAATACTCAAAGATCTGCTGATAGAAAGTACTTATACAAGAACTAATATTACAACTGTGAAAATGCATTTATGTTGGAAAACATTTAGCACAACATGAAATAGTTTTTTGCTCTTAATATGGGTAAGAGCAGTTAGCTGGCAACTGGCTCAGACCTTTTACAGTATTTTATCTTTTACCCTTTCCTCCAGTTATGTGAGTTTACATCCCCCTTGCAATTCTTACAGGTTCACAAACTGACTTGGGAGAGACAAAGGAATAGCAGGTTGGCGTAAATGTTTTGTACAGTATAGATTCTGATCAAGCACATGATATTCTTGGGCATCAGAAAAACAGACAGTTGTACTTTTTGCAGGGAATAATTTGCAAGCAGTTTTGTTCAAAATTACTCGAGCCATTACTCGAGCCATCTCCTGGACTAGAAGGCTACTTTATTACAAAATCAGTACACTTGCTTTTATGGGGCAACAGAGCCCAGGTCTTCAAGAATGTGGATTGAAAACTTCTCTGTGGGCTCCATGGGTCCCCCCTATGTTGTTTGTGTAATCTCTAAACTTTCCCCTTTTGGCACGTCAGAGCCCACTGAAGGCTGTTATAATTGAGTAATAACAAAGCTAGTTAAATCTTTGCTGTCTTGCATCAATCATGGAAAGTTCTTGTATGAAAGCTTCAAACCATGACCTGTAAGACAGTTTCCTCTCTTGTGGTACCTTTGGTTACCAAATTTGCTGCTGTGTTTCACTGGTGCAATATCTGTGGGTTGGTAAAATCTCTGGGAATGAAGGTTCTATAAATGTAAGATGTTAATTTGTGTCTGAATTTAATAATCTGGTTTATTTCAGAGGCAATCTGGATAAAGCCATCGACATGTTCAACAAAGCTATTAACCTGGCCAAATCTGAAATGGAAATGGCCCACCTCTATTCACTCTGTGATGCTGCCTATGCCCAGACAGAAGTTGCAAAGAAATATGGACTGAAACCACCAACATTGTAAAAGAACAATGGAGGAGGGAGGGAGAGAATGACCTTTTAAAAGTAAATTTGCCCACTTCAACCTAGCTTTGAAGACACTGTTGCAAACTATGTTGAATGGTGGAACTTAGTTTTTTCTCGTTTGTGGAGTTGTCATTTGTTATATCTGTTAAATGTTTAGGTGTTGTGGGAGTGGCTGTTTTCAGGAAGTATGTTGTGCTGCACCTTGTTCTGGATGCAGTGGAAACCTTATCATCTGGAAAGGAAAAGTTGCAAAGAACAAGGGATATTTTGGCCATGCAAATAAAAAACTTTAATACTTGGGTGATATTGCTATGGACGATTTTTGCTTTATCAAAATAGTATTTTACAGCATGTTTTCCTGTTGATTTTATAGTTAATAATAGTGCTGTAAAATAGGTTTATTTTATATGCAGTTAATTTCTATGGGTTGATTTTAGTTTTGCAAAAACAAAACTTAATATACAAAACTATTTAATATTACGGATTTTTTTAAAAGCCTATAGATGTGAAGACAAAGCCTGTAAATAAATCCAAGCATGCACAATCTTCCCTTACAACCTCTTCCACCCTCTGCATAACTACTTAGAAATGGTCCTGTGGCAGCTATTAAGCACTTGTGTACTGTAACCGAGAGCTATTTAAAAAAACCTTTCTAGATAAGGTATAGGTTATACTGAAAAGGAAAATACCATTTCCTTCTACAGTTGTGCTCGCTCTAATGCCAGTGGAAATTGTTCAAAAGTTTCCCAGTGCTGCTGAGAATTTTTCAAGAAACTGAATATACTGCTGAGACTGAAAATGGCAAGGTATGGTCATTACTGAGTTCAAACTTGTGACAGTTCAGAAATGGATACATCCTTGTTCTAACCAAGTCCTTGTAAATACCCATTACCAGCTTGGATGAGAGAATGAATAAAGCTTCATATGGATGGCCCAATAATGGATTCGGAATCGTAAGGGTTTTTTTTTTTTTTTGTAATTTAGAGTCTATATTTGTTAAACTATAAATATTCTATACTAATAACATAGTTGTTCCATGAACAACACATTCCTTCTGATTGACTTTTTCTTAAAACACTAGTATAAACAAAGTGTTTCTTTGGTTAGGAGTTGCACAGAGGACTTGTAGATGCCGCACATTGCTCTTTTGGAACCATAGTGAGTTCATGGCTGCCTCCCACTAGCTTCATGGGACACAGGGAGCTCTTAATAACTTGCAGATGCAAAATAAACATCTCATCGCATTGCATTTCCTTAATGTTTGGGTCTATATCAAAATATATGCAAAACTATACTGACTTTCCAATCTATGTCATGTCACTTAAAGTAACGTGCTAAGCAAGTGCAAAATTGTCAGCTGCTATTTCTGGCATCTAAGGGGGCAAGCTGTATTTTTTACCTTAGTTTCCCTTACTTTTCCTTCCCTCCCAGCAATTGCTCTGAATAATGGGGTGGAGGAGGGCCTGCAGACAGAGCAGCTTAATCCTCCCATTTATTCGAGTCAGGAAGTCCTGTTCTCCTGAACCAGTGGTGTTGGTGTGGAATGAAAGATGTGTTGAAGACACAAGCAGTCTTAAAGGATACTGCATTAAAGAAAAGTAGTGAGCTTCTTATGAAATTTTCAATCTGTACTTCTATGAGTTGAGAATAAAAACATGCCCAAATTCTCAAACTATTCCTAAGCTTGATTGTATCCTGTTCTCCAGCAGGGTTTTTATTTGCATGGCCTTATCTACAGCTGAAGTTAATTTTCCTCTTCCTCCTCCAAAAGATTAAGGGAAAAAAGCATGTGCTGCCTAATACTAGCATTCCACATCATGGACTGTTGCCTGTTCTTCAGATAGTTGAAGCCACACTGAAAGATGCATTTGTCTGTAATTTTTTTTTTTGTAAATGACTTACCACCTGTAAAGTCACTGAATAAATATTACATTCAAATCTCTCTTTTTTACATAATAAGGTCAGGTTATGGTGGAAAACTACTTACCTGCTCAGTGGAAATTGTGCAAATCTATAATTGTCTTCTGTGTGAATGAGGTTTCTGAGAGTCTGAGAGAATAATTCTAACTACTGAATATTCAGACCTCCTTTTTGTCTTCTCCGCATTTCTTCTCCAAAAAGAGAGGGGTGAAGTAGGGAATAAACAATCCAAATTATGACTTTCCTCATTTTCTAAGGCACAATGTTAAGAACTTAACATGAGGGAAAAGTCATCCACCACAGCATATCTGTAGTGAGGAAACAGAGTCTGTATTCCATTTACATGTATGCAGCAACACTCCTTTACTGTGCAGTTTCTGCTCAGAATCCCATTATTAGCATGCTGTAGGAATGGCCGTTGAGCTGAAGCCCTGGCTTCCAAGGATTGCCATACAATTCGGAATATAAATCAGCTTTTAATTGCCATGTCTTCCATAGCTGATTTTAAAAAAAAAAGCTGGAGAAAGTGAACAGATACTGCAGACCTTGATACAGGCCTGGTGCATCTGGTACTGAGAGAAGCAAGATCCCCACACATTTCTGCCATGCAGCTTAATCTGAACTTGTAAAATCCTTGCTATTCTAATTCTTGCACAAAGTCTTAGAGGAGGATGCCAAATAGTTCAGGGTGAATAAATGGAAGTTAGGATGAGCTCATGTTTCATTTGTGACTTAAATCATCAAGGTTTGAACCTAGGTTCCAAAGGTTAAAAAAAAAAGGTAATGCAGGAACTGCCTTCCAAAACTAAATTGTAACTATTCCATAACTGTGCTAGATATATTGGATTGTGGAATGAAAGCAGCTGAATCAGCAGGGATAGCTCTGCCCAGTGCTCTGCCAGTTCTGCCTTCTATAGAAGTGCAAGGTGTCTCCATGTTTTCTGTCATTCCTAAAACTACTTTTTCCTGGCAGCCTAACTTTGGGGAATATCCTGATACTAGTACAGTGCTGGTATTGACTGGTAGGTTTCTATATTTATAGAATTGGTGCATGTGTATATAATATAATCTGAAGTGCCTGTCTTCTATCAGCATGGGACACTTTAGTGCCTGCTTTAACTCGTAAATAGCATAAGACTGTGTGGGCGTTTTTTTGGTTGTGTGAGAAAACAAAAAAAACCTCCAACACATCACACTGAGATCCTTTTGATATAGGCGCAATGGGCCACGTAAAGAGCCAATGAAAGAAGATTGTCAGCAGGGCTGTGGTTGAGCCTTTATGACCTCTGTCACATTAAGAAATGGTATTCCAGGTTGGCTCTCTAGGAAAATTGTCCCCACTGTATATATGTATTTTCTCTTTATCCTACTACCAGATATGGATTGCACTTTACTTTTGCAAGATTAAGAATAATGCTGTGCAGAAGCCTGCTTTTTTAACTCTCCAAAGGTGAAAAATAAACTTTAGTTTACTTTCTACTGCATGGAAAAGGGGGGAGTATCCATCTACCTATCAGATGTTTTCATTCTTAAACAAATAGCTGATGTGTTTTGTAAGTCATAGATTATGTCTTGGGTTATCATACTGGAGGTGGCAGGTAGCAATGTAAGACAGGAGAGGTTTGGGGCATGGCTCGTTGTAGAAATTTATATTAAACTAGACTCAAACTGGTGCACTGTTTCCTAAATCTTTTATATTTTTCTAACTAATAAATCTTTTCACCTTACGGTCTGTTTTTGGGAATTCTTATGTAGTGTGTATACTTGATGAAACCACAGTGTTGAAGTTACTCTATTTTTATATTTGAGAGGCAAGCTGCTGTAATTGCTAGTAGAAGAGCTTTGTGTAAAGTGTGGCCACTGTTCAGGTTTTTAGGGTTGTTTTTTGTGATAGTTCAAGACAGTTTTTTTTCCAAGTTCTTGCCATAGCCTCTCTCATAGGCTCAGAATTGATAGTAGAAAAGACATTTTATGGCAAAGGTATTTTAACCACTTAAATTGCCAACTTCATCATGATGGAGCATGTTAATGAAGTTTGTCGGTCTCATTTCAGTGAGAAGGGTGAAAAAATGAAGGAGTCTCTGCAGCTGGTAAGCTTCATCGCTGCCCACATGGCAAATACCTCACTACAAGGCAATGCAAACACTTGGGCTATGTCTACGCATGTGGCTTCTTGCACAAGTATGACCATTCTTGCACGAGAATCTGCAGAGCGTCTACACTGCCCGCCTGCTCTTGCGCAAGTAAATTCACAGTGCAGCGTGGTAAGAGGGGGCTCCTTGCACAAGAGCTACGCTCTTTTTTGACAGGTGTAAGTCCTCTTGCGGAAGACGGCAGTGTGGACACTCGGCAGGGATTTCTTGCACAAGAAAGCCCTATGGCTAAAATGGCCATCAGCGCTTTCTTGCGCAAGAGCGTCCACACTGCCATGGGAGCTCTTGCTCAAAAGCACAGCGCGCACATGGCAGTGTGGATGTTTTCTTGTGCAAGACTTCCTGCACAAGAACCCTTGTGCAAGATGTTCTTGTGCAAGAAGCTGCGAGTGTAGACATACAGATGCTCAATATAACTTGGGTATAAGCCCACTTTGTTCAAATGTAATTCTCCCTACTATCCCTGCTGCCTTTAGAATCAAATTCCAGTAATACATCTGTTTTCAAAAGCTCTTTAGCTGAAGGTACCTTTAACACCTCTTCCACGTTGCTTAATTCAAAACAGCAGGCAGTATAATGAACAAGTAGAAAAAAGGTACTTTAGGTAGTACGGGAGCTCAGAGTCTGCATGCTAAGTCCAGCGATCCACAAGGTATTTCACATCACTACATTTGCACCACCACCTGCCAAAGCCAAGAACTGCACCATAATTAACTTACACTATAAAGCAGGGCTACTCAACTTTGGGAGCCCTGGGGCCTACAATGATACTCTCAGCACATGCCAAGGGCTGCAATGTAAGTGTGGTTACATATACATGCAAATAGCTTCTTTTACACTGACCAGCATGAATACAAAGATTAAGGCAAGATTACACAACACACAGGCCCCATTTAAATCAGTTCTGCTGGCATTACATTTAAGTCAGCTCTGCCTTGGCATTACAGGGCAAAATTTGCCCCCCCGCTTTCAGTATGTTTACAGGGGCTGGAGTCTAGCTTTAGTTACAAAACTAGCTCAGTCTAAATTAGAAGTTTTGTTAAACTTGAGTAAAATGTCAAGAGCAAGGTAAGAGGAACAGTAGCTGGTTATTAGCTGAACTAATAGTGACTGACTACTGATCAAAAATTTTTTTTAAACTTTTACGTAAGAGCATGGAGAAAAATCTTGAGACCTAGCTATTAAAAAGACAGACAAGGAAATAGGTCTCAGTTGTCCAGAGGACTCCACAAAGTCAGGGATTCTAAGACAAATATGAAACTGTATAATAGCCTCCTTTCCTAGCTTTTGGTGCTCCACATTCTTTAGGGGAGTTATTACATTTTTTCCAATAACCAAATTTACTATAATTGCTACCTTGACACTTGCTTACCTATTAAATTATCTGCAGTTTAAAACAAAACCAGTCATACAATTCCTCCCCCGCATGAGGGAATTCCAAACCTGGAGGAGTGGAAGGATCACCCCCCTTTGCATGTTAAGCTTTATTTGTACAGTGTAAGATATTCCGTTAGCAATGTTAAGTGACAGTCTCAACTGGATTCTCTTATAGCATATCAAAAGGATGCTGCTGCAGCACCACCAGTAGGTTATAACTTGCATAAACCCCAGACTAAGAAAAAGAGTGTGTTTAATATAAAGAACAGTATAAAAATTAATTCAGAAGGTACCGATGCTGAACACAGCTGCAAGGCTTCTGCGTAACATGGCAGCCTTCTCCCAACTCCCACTCCTGTGAAGGATTGATTGCAATGGAAATGTGAGGCAGGAAGACAGAGGAAAGTGCTAGAGAACCGTGAGGAGCAGCACATGGGAGTAGGAATGCATCCTCTATGCACAAGCTGGGATGCAGAAGGCAAAAAGGAAGAAGAAACTAATTGATTTCATGCTTAGATAGGATAGAGAGGGGTACTGTAGAAACACCTTTTACTGTATATCATTACATATAGAAAATATAGCATTAGTAATCTCAATGTGGCAGTGCAAGCCATACTCCTATCTCTAGACCACAACAGGACTCGCTCCTATCCAATACAGTGTAAGCTTCAGGCAAAACTGCTGAGCTGGGAGTCTGGCTCTAGTCTCTGCCCCAGCAGATAACTGATTGCTGTGTAAAGTGCTATGAAACAGCTAAAGGCGATAGAAGCCACTTATATTCATCTTCACTTAGGGTTCATTGAAGCACAGGCTTTTTGGCTTAATTATACAGTTCGGGATGCAAGATCAGCTGTAGTTTGTGTCGATCATTGTTTTACTGTCTCTGGAGATACAAGCAGTTCTCAAAAGAGCTGCTCTGGAGCCGAGTTTTGCAGATCATGGCGCTGTATTGAAGTCTCACTCTTTCTTTGCCTCTATGCTGTAAAGATCTATGCGCTTTTGAGCATGAAGGGGGATTTGCTGGCGGATTTCTGCTAGTTTTGTCAGGTCTGTAAAGTGAAAAATTGAACGTATTAGACAAACGCTAGCTGATGCTTGGAAAAAACTATACATCACTTTGTATACAAAGATCTATGAGAGTCTGTACAGAACCGGAGGAACAGAAAAATAATGTGAGGTTTTCAAACCTGCACACATACTGTGTACCTGACCCATGTGCATGAACACAGAGTTTGATGCTCATGCAAGGCAGGGATGATGTATATTATTTGAATTGTACGAGTCAGAGGAACTTGTCTGAATGGGTTTGATAATTCTAGGATGTGCATTTCTATAGATGGTTGTTGGCCAGATCACAAAACCAATTGCCACAACTGGCGCTGTGATGCAAAAGTCTCTTGGTGCCAGAGGGTGCAGACAGTTTCACAAGGGTCCCAGCAGTCAGATATATGCATAAGGGGCCCCTGTGAAACTGTCTGCACCCTCCGGCACCAAGAGATTTTTGTATCACAGTGCAAAACCTTATTCACTAAAGGATGGCCTGTGAGGCTTCTACCGAAGAGCCAGTAGCCATCAATTACTGCAAAATACATGGAGAGATAATACAAGGAATTGTGTCTATTAAAAATTATGTTTGTAAGGCAGAAAGCCAGGTGGTGACATGTCCAGGACAGGTTCCTTTCAAGCAGAGGGTAACAATACTTGTCCTCTTGTTGGTCAAGTATGTATGAGCACCATGTGTCTCACACTGATTGCCTGTCTGCATTCAGGATATAATAGTATAGTCTGATTAACAGAAAAACAAAAGCTTATAGGTTTAATGCTATATAGACTATATGCATTTGCCCACCTCCCTGGTCAATTTTTTAGCAGGCTGGCCAGCAGCTCAGCTTGCACCAGGTCCAGGAGCTACCCCTGCTACAGCTCTGCATTTAAAGTGTATTAGGAGCAAGCAAGCAGGCAGGCAGCCCAATTCTGTTCAGGCTTGCGCTGGGCCTGGGAGCTCAGACCTGCCCTCATGGACAGGGGATGCTGCCAGCCCACACTATTGCCTCTGTATTAGAGGCAGCAGTGCAGGGTGACAGGCAGCCAGTCCGCGAGGGGAGCGGTTTTTTTTAAACTAGTTCCCCTCACATACCGGCTCCCGCCTGGCACCTCACACTGCTGCCTCTGATATAGAGGCAGCAGTGCAAACAGGGGGCTCCTCAGGAGCACACTGGCTGCCAGCACCACCCCTAGGGACTACAGAATAGTCGAGTAACCAATAAGAACTCATGAGGTTAATCGACTATTCATTTAACATCCCTAGTCTGTATACTAAGCCAAATGCTAATCAAGAGAGTGTGAAATCTTAAAGAGAAGAAATTTACAAAATGTGTTGGGGGAAAGAGGGTGAGAGCCTATTTTCCAGTAAGGGCAATGGATTTGTTCTGATATGTCTGACATGCAAACAGACATGTTGGGTCTTTCACCTTGGTGGCAAACGTGCAGCCTGATTTGTATCATGAATTTAAGATCACAACCAACCCAGACTGTAAAATACTAAAAGGACTTTAACTTAGACATAAAGGACTTTCTTTACAACAGGAAAGTCTTATAAGCCTAGGTTCCAGAATCGGCATTATGATTTTCTATGTAGCCATTTCGTTCCAATATTTATTTGCTGCTACTTGAATCACTATGCTCCACACTAGACTTTAAGTCTGTTTTCAATATAACCATTAACGATGAGTGGAGGAGTAACAGATAAGCGGGGGTGCAGGTTGTCTTTGGAAGTAGCAAAGCTAAATACTGAGAGTGTCAACTGGAACAGAACTGGATGCTCTAAGAGACAGCTGAAGGGCCTATCCCACATTTGTAGACAGACAAAGGAGCCTACGTAGGCCTCCTGGGGAGCACTTGTATTGCTTGTCAAGTTGAGCTGACCTCCTGGCAGGCACAGCAAATCTAGGCACCACTAGATTGGTGCCTAGGCAGAGAAGCTGAGGACTGAAGGGCTCGTGGAAATGGAACTCCTGTTAGCCCTTAGAGAGCCTTCCAGGTCAGTGTTGAGGCAGATTGGCATGGTCTGGCATTATTGCCACCTGTGTTATACCAGTTTCTGCAAATGACTAGAAGCCTTCAGTTTCTAAAGATGAGGGCTGCCCATCAGGCTCTTACCTTTCACCAGAATGTCTTTAAAAACAGGAAAATAAAACTTAAACATACCACATCTAAGTACACATGGTCAGATAAGCCCAAGGATGCTCGGCTTACAGAGGGTTCTAGTCTGCTTAGCCCACTGGTCCCCAAATGTTTTACCTCTATTCCCCCCCCTTATTCTGTCCACACACATATCCCTTTCCCCACATTCAGGGCAGGGTGGGATGTGGATTTCAGTAAGAGGGGGCAAGGCTGGGGCCTGCAGTTTGGATCCTGGGCACAAGGCTGGCAGCTGTGGCCAGGAGCTGAGGTTGTGGCACTCTCTCTCTGCCCCCTGTGGTGGCTGCCTATGTCTGCCAACATGCCCCCCATTTTGGAAGCCTTTGGCTTAACCTCACTGATTCCAGTTTACCTTTTTTTTTGGGGGGGGGGGGGGGGAGAGAAGAGGAAGAGAGAAAAAACTACTATACTATACTGCACTATACAGGCTTACCTATATCTGTGTAGATAATGGTCTCTTCAGTGCCAGCTTTAGCTATGACCTCTCCCCTGCAAAATGAAACAATCTTTAGTGTACTTGTACTGCAATAGCACCTAGGAGCCCATCAGGGACTCAAACCCAGTTGTACTGGGTGTTGTAGACAGAGAATAAAAAGATGGTTTCTGCCCCTGCTAGTCTTCAATCTACGAGTTAACATAAGCACAAGGTTATGGTCACACCCACAAGTTCTCTTGGGACTGAGGGAGCCTGAAAAAGTAGAATGTTTCCTACCCGTACAACAATGTCAGATTCTAGTATAACCACAGATACTTGCTTTTAAACGGCACTCACTTGAGACAGAAGATTTTGGAAAAATCAGCAAGCATAATACACAAATGGTAAATCATTCCGGATTCACACCGCTTTATGAAGATTACACTTCATTAGTGTTCTCTTCATAACTGTATCAGCACTTTGATGATTACACTTGCCCTGAGCAGGTCTCCACACGGCTGTGTTCCTCACATTACTCTGACACAATAATGGGGCAGAACATCAGATGTCAAGGTTCTGATCTTCTCCCAGAAGCCTCTTGAACATGGGGCACAATATCTTAAAGGGGGAAGGGCCCACAGACCACCACTTTAAGGAGCTGCAGGATAGATACTTAAAAGAACACACTATTGCAACAGAGTAACATGGATGGATGCATGTGAGTATTTCACCCAAGCAGGATGGCTAGCATGAATGCATTGAACCACTTCAGACTGAAGACAGATTCAAGTTCTCTGGTAGGTATAAGGCTGTACATAGCTCTTGTTTAGAAGGAATCTTCTGTAGACAAACCAACACAATCTATAAATCTAAGAGTCCTGTAGATGGGGGGGAGGGCGCGACTGTCTTTGCTGCATAGGTAAAGTTTATCTGTAGGATCAGTTTTAACTTCAGATATCCACTAGCAGTACTGCACATGCTGGGGGTTTGACTGATTAGTAAGTCCTTCCCATCTCAGATTCTACCAGAGTGTTGCAAGAAATTGAGCAGGCACAGAAGGGTCTATTTTAAAATCAGGATTAATAATAATTATTGCTCATCAATCATTCTCACTATCTCTACTATTAAGCAACATAGTAATGCCATTGCAGCAAAGTGAAAGGGCTGATGCACCAACAATCAAAGAGAGATTTCAACTTTACACAAGTTCAGAATGGAGTTTTCTACAGATAAGTCACATGAATTAATTATTTGGAAGAAGAAAAAAAAGTAATTATTGCCAACAAATGTTCTTGGCTACATATTTATCCTAATTTATCCAAAGCTACTCAAGCTCATATATGAAAAGTACTGCTGCTTATGGAATACCCTTTGACCTGTTTGGTCTATACCCTGCTAATTCTGTGTCTCAGATCAAGTTGATTTTATTCTTTTCTGAACGATGGTTTGGTTTTTAAAACCAGAATATCTGTATGGAAGAAAGTAAGTCTTTTGTAAATTAGCAGATTTCATGTGGAATGTGATGAGATACAAAAATTCAATATATTGTTCTATCCTTACCAAGACAGGTATATCTTACATTTTGTGACAGGATCTTTCTCTCTGATTTTTTAAACAAGTTAAAAATATAGAGGTAGTTAAAATGTGGATGATGCAGAGTTCAACAGGGATTAGTTTTTAATCCACATAAAAAGCTTTCAAGGTTCCAATTGCAGCTCCAATTGTATTCAGAATAAAACTTTAAACTTGTTATTTCGACAGTGATTATTCACCAAAACCCAGTTTGTTTGGTCCAAGCAGCCCTGATCACATTGAAGTAAAGGGTTTGCTTCCTTTTATCCTTAAAAATATTTCAACCAAGCAGTAATTTTTTTTTATTACACACTGACAGCCAAGTTATATTTTCTCTGTTAGAAAAGGGATGCACAAGCTCACAGGAAGTTTCTCTTACTATCCTGCTTTTAAAGACTATTTCACAATTCTGCAGGATATTAGTTTAAAGGACTCAACTAATGAAAGGAGATTTCCTTAGATGGACACTAACAACTTGAAATCCTGCCTCTATTTTTTATGGTGAAATAATTAATCCCAGGTGCTACACCTACCTCTGAAATCTTCAGACAATTTCTGCATTTTTACAACCCATTTTATCAAAGTTTCTTTTTGTTATGTAAAAAACCCACACAAAAAGCAAAGCTGCTATCCATAAAGTACTGTCAGAGGCATAAAGTTAATTGTAAAAATAGGGAATTGCATGTGTCATTTGCAATTAAAGCGGTCTTAGGTGATACTTTTAAGTACAGGTAGAAACGTTTTCAGACAGAAGTGCAATTGTGTCTTTGGAAGTTTGGTTAGAAAAATTCTGTTATTCTTTTCCACTTACCAGGGGTTTACTACAGTGCTATGTCCCCAGGCAATGTAAGATGCTCTCTCGTCTCTAGCAGGAGATGCAGTAGCCACGTAGACTTGGTTATCAACAGCTCTGTATTCAAAGAAGAACAACAAAAACCTGTCCACATCTTTGTATACCACAGATTAACTGTTTTTGAGAAAAACAGAAGGGAAGGAAAAATTATGCCAAAGAAATTATCTAGATTTTCCACCTTGCTGAATTTTAGGAGATACAAAGTAGCCAAAACCATAAGTAATGTCAAGGTCAGCAAGGCAAAAACCCAGAGAGTTGAGCTGGAAGAAACAGGACTAAATTAATTGCCCAAAGCATTTAAACTCCCATTAATGCCAATGTAAAAATCCTTTGCTCAATAGGGATGGCTGGTTGAATCACACTTAATCTGAATACCAGCCACTGCCTCCATTCCAGGATCTAGACAGTAACATGCCACAAAGGAGCCAACATACCAAATGAGTGACTAAACTGTGACAGGATTCAGGAGACGTAGATTCTGTTCCTGACTTTTGCTGATTCAGAGTGATCTTGGGGGAAAAAAAATCACAGCGAGCAACTCTTAGAATTAACCCCTTTCTACTGCTCAGTGGCTCAAACTTCCCCATCCGTGTGACCTCTCTGTGTAATGCACTCCCACGTCTAAGGATCTTAGAGATTGGCATGTGAGAGACTGGCACAAAGGTGTTTATATCATGACTGAAGTATTAAGAGTTTTCCTATTGAGGGTGGGAATTACTGGCTGTTGTGCATGGCTTAGAATATATAAAGAAGTTAGATTAGAAAGAATTGAGACACACTAAAGCCCAGTTCAACAAGCTAGAATCCCTTTCAGGAGGAGGAGGGGGGGGGGAAAAGCTGTTACTTCATTCTTACCGTCCTCTTTGCAGCAGTTCCCAGTGGGCTGGTCCAGTTGTCATATTAAAAGCCCCTGGATACACTAACAGCTGGCAACCTTGGTTAAAAAATAATGACTCAGTATTATAAGACAACAAGGCACTTGTCATGGGGAAGCACAGCTATGTCAGTTCTGAGCACCAGTATACCTGAACTGGTGCAATACACACAGTTAATCCAGAGTAAATTGCGTCAAACAGTGTGGTGGCTTTAGGAGTCAGTCAGCACAGGCTACCTGAACAATGATCACTACAAAACTTACTGGTACTTAGCAGTTAATAATGTGGCCCACCGTCCAATAAAAGACAGCAGCTGGTGTTTAGACATTTAAAACCCGTGTGGCTCATTGCTATATTTACTACCATATAACAGGCAGGGATGGATGTTCTGAGTGATAGGCAATCTGGGCCTTAGCCCTAACTTAGCTAAAGGCTTCCTATGTGACCTTGGGCAAGTTAATGTCTGTGGGCCTTTGTTAACCCATCTGTAGACAGCGCATCTTTTAGGTGTGTTGTGAGGCTAAATCAAATCAACATTCTGAAAGTATTTTGAGACCCTTAGAGGGAAGATGCTAGAGAAACATGAACAACAAGGGCTGATTCCACTGCCATGACTAGTTGGCTAATCCAGTCTCTCCTGTACGTAGTATGAGGTCCAGTGTTCTTCCATTGCCTGCAGTAACCATGGAGTGATGTATTGCAAAGCATTTTAAAAATGAGAGAAGTCACTGGCCTTTGACTTCTACATTGTCTAACATTTGAAAGTTGCATGAGTCTAAGTAAGAACAGGACAAGTCACATAGCTATAAAACCATGTGAATTGGGAAAGCATAAAGGCTTTTGGCTGGGTGCCTGGCAGCAAACTTGCTGCCTCTCATCCTCTGGGAGCAAGCCAAGAGGATGTAGTAGATGTGCATTCTTTTCAGGACAGAATATGGTCATTTTCAAATTTCCTGTACAGGGTCCTGAGCTTAACTCAATGCCTCCCCTCTCTTGCAACCTCAAAATTATTCCCCTTTATCTCACCTCTTAATGTGACCTGTCTCCTCCACATCCCTTTCAAAACCTACGCCAGGGAGGAGTGAACTTGTTTCTGTCACAGGTGTCATTTTGTGCTCCACAATATTCCCTTAAAGAGAAGCAAGTCTCTTTCCCCCATGGTTGTGAACAAAACCTTCATATTGTGCAGCAAATATCAGATGCTTGCACTCTGCAGACTGCCTGAAGCAACAGCCTATAAACATGAACGGTCTGATTTATCACAACAGAGTCAATGATTCTGAAACCCAATTCTGATATTTTAAAATGGCAAAGTTATTAACTATTTCACTTCTCAAAGCATACAAGAAAGGGAAGAGAGACCATTACCTGCATCCTCCCTTTTATGTCATCAGTCATGCACTTCTTTCACTCCCCTCTCCCAATCCAGCTTTTGGAGGGTAGTTTGCACTATGGGGGAGGTAAAGCAGGACCAATTCCACCTAAGAGTCCTGATTTGCCCAGCTTCCTCTAAGTCAGGAACTCTCCATCCTCTCCAGTAGCTGAGTGCCTGGTAATCATTCCTATCATACAGTTGGGGGGTGGAGGGGGAGGGAAGAAAGGGGGGAGGAGTAAAACCTGGATGGCTGGGATTAAGGGTGGAGAGAGAAAGGTATTTTCCTTTTGAGTGTATTTTTTTTTTGCAGACATCTCTATCTGTAACTGGTTAGAATATGCAGAACCTTCACAAAGGGTAGGTACTGTAAGCACTTGTACCAAGTAAACTGCAGCGAATACTTCCAAGCACTGGCTCACAGGTAGGATCAGCACCCACTACTGTCTCAATGACTGGCCAAGTGGACAGCTGTATTTTTGAATCAGAAGCTCACAAGGATCAGCACCCACTACTGTCTCAATGACTAGCCAAGTGGATAACTGTATTTTTGAATCAGAAGCTCACTAGCTCTATTCCTGATACGGTCTATGCAGTTTGTGGATAATCATGTGGTCTGATCATATGTATGCAGCTGTGGACTGATCACCAAAGAGCACTATATCTGAAGCAGCCCTCTATGGATGGGTCACCTCTCAAGTAAAGGCAAGTCACTGTTGTATTAAGTCTACGCAAATGTATTTAGCAACACATCCTCACCTTTCTGTGTGTAGATTTGAGCAAGCTCAGCAAATCGGATGTCATAGCAGATCCCCAGTCCCACTTTACAGTATGCTGTTCCCAAAACAAGAAGGACACAAAGAAGAAATCATGGTCATGCTGAATGCCAGAAAAGAGTTTCAAGTTTCCATCCAGCAATCATGAAAGCCCTTGTATAATACTTTTCACCACAAGAAATAAGCACTGATTTTAGACACATGCTTTCTTTTCTACAAGCATTGTACCTGCAGTGCATTTCAGCACGTATTACCCAAAAAAAGTGCACCAATCTGAGATAGGGATGTAGTCGACTAGTCGCTTTCCCCCACCCTGGCTGCCTCTATCAGAGGCGGGGGAAAAGCTGGTTCCCCTAGCACCAGCTCTGTGGGGAGCAGGAGAAGCAGGAGGTGGCGGGTGTGAGTCTGGAATCAACTGATTCCCGGCTCACTCCCAGATGCTGTGCTTCAGCCTTTTAAATGTATTAAGAGCCTACCCAGTGTGAGCTGGGACAGCTGATTCCTGGCTTGCACTCTCCCCCGCTGCACACCAGCCTTTTAAATATATTTAAAAGGCAGACACACAGCGGGGTTAGCTCCCGGGCTAGGAGCTCACCCGGCTGCAGCTCCCCCACTTATCAATAAAAGTTATTTTATCAAGCAGCCATTCCACTAAGAAGCTTGTCATATTAGGTCTTTGTCTGGTTTTTACAGGTATCTTTTCAAAAATTATTGATCAACTTCTTAATGAAGCATACAGATAGAAAAGCATACAATGTATGTCCTGAGATAATAAGACAATTGTTACTAAAAGATTTCTCCCATAGCCATTCAAAATGTATTGCAAGAAGGAGATGACCACAGTCCAAGGGAGATTTGAGAATTTCGAGATCAGTTAATGGGACAGCGTAATTTTGGTGGGATTATAACAAGTGCAAGAGTCACCTAAGGAAGCAAGTTGTCTTGGGAGTGGATATAAAACAAATTACCTGGGGCTTTCTACTATGTTAGCTGAATATTTCAGATCCACACTACCATGTCATACTCATAGCAGGTCCAGTCCAATACTTTGTTTTCCCAGCCAACTTTTAGGCGTAATGAGGTACATATAAATGATCTAAATAAAATGATTCCATTGTTCAAACTAACTTTGTGAACGCCTAGTATGTACTATGGGAATACTGAACCCTCATAAGAAAGCTACTTCAACAACTGCTTTTCCCATTTTTTCCAGTCTAGTTTGAGAGAAAAATCTTAGTCATCTGGGCAACATCTGTAAACATGCAACTGGGAATTGTGGAACCATAACTCCAAACCACAAGAGCCCAGCCAAGGCTTGACAAAAACCAACATCTCTCGCTATGAAATATCACTGTTACGAATAAATATAGATTGTGGTATGTGCAACACTCCAAACCAGGCCCTCCAAAAACATAAGTCACTCATTTGTTTGACTAAATTATAAGACTTCTAGTAATATAAACGTTCAGCCATCACCATTACTGACTGGAACCTACATGACACGTGTCCGGTGCTGCTCAGATAATTTTTTTTGGATGTTGCGTCAATTTCCACCACCTCGTCTTTGTCTTTTTAAATAATAGATAAGACAATAGGTAAACTTTCAAAAAGTGTCTGGGAGATTTAGGAGCCTAAGTTCCATCCATCCAAAGCATCTAATTAATTCATTTAGCAACAGGACTTGGGTGCTTTTGAGAAACACATGGTCTGTATTCCTCTGTGTTTGTCAAATGCCTAGTACACTTGAACATAAAAACTACTACTGTGGTGGAAAAAAATAATGTCAAGATGGTGGTTGCTGTCATTTTACTAGGGCCTCTTACAAAGATAATTTGTTCTCTCATACTCACGAGTATCAAACACCGAGAAACTGTCCCCTGGGCTCAGAGTTTCTGACTCTTGGAACCGGATTTTTCCAGGAACATTAATATCAAATAAATGAATCTGTTTAAAAAATAATCCAAGACACTCCTGAATAATTTGTAAGAACAATGATATTAACAGAGTTTTCCTTATTATTTATGACCCTATGTTAAACTTATTTAGAAACTATTCCTCTCAAAAGAGGAATGCAATGTAGACATATCCTAACAGATTTATTAGGGCATAAGCTTTCTAAGGTGCCACAGAACTCCTCATTGTTTCTGCAGATACAGACTAATACGACTACACCTCCAAAACCAACATTGAACTTATAAGTAAAATACAAGACATTATGTCAAAGATAAAGAGAATTATCTTTCTGATAACATGGTCTTAGCCCCAGACCTGCAAAACTTATCAAGCAAGTAATTTTCCACAGTCACAAAGTTCCACTGACTTCAGTATGACTAGTACCATGCACAAACAATTGCAGGATTACACTGTCTCTGCAAGTAGTAGCAGGAGAGGGGTTCCAATCTTGATGTTTCCTCTTGGTACTATAGAGCAAGGGAATGGGAAGACATGAGATAAAATCCTGACCCCATTGAAATCAACTAAAATTATGCTGCTGACTTCAGTGTGAATTCCTGGTTCTTTTACCAGTTCTATCGCTAATTTGACATGACAATAGGAAATCTCATCTTTCTGCACTTCACCTACCTCATCTGTAAAATACCTATATTGCCCCTTTTTTAAAGTTCTTTTAAATCCTCAAATTAAAAATACTTTATATACGATAATGAAACTACAGCACAACATATTCGCATAACTACTACCTCCTTTGTTTTTCATATTCAATTGTGAAGTCTGTGGATGTTAGATTCCTATTAGAAACCTATATGTAGACTTAAAAAGAAAGCACATCAATGTCTTAGACAGCTAAATATCAGTCACAGCCATTTCAAGAGAAATCTATTGATTGCAAAATATTTCTCTCTTTTCTCACCTTTCTGTGTTTAGCCAGCATAGTGCCATCAGGTCCAAACACAGTACATGTGTTATACAACTTTCCAGCATCCTTTTCCGGAATGGATCCTTTATTAAAAGAAAACAGATTTCCAACTATTACACATAGTGACACGCCAGCTACATAAAAAAAGCCAACAATGCTTACGCTGCTCCCAAAATAAGACCCAAATTTAAACTCAGAAGATAAACACTAATAAGAAGCTACCTCCAATGAGATAGATGCCACACTCCTTAGCAACTTCTGAGAGCTTCTGTGTAGATTCTCCAGGGATTTTCTCTGCATATTCAGGAAAATATTTAGTACCATAGGGAGAGTTAAAGCATTCCTACAAGTGGAAAACAAAGAAACAAAATTAAAATCTGAAAGCATCACTGGCATGGTGTGACCTCTGAAACCTTACTCTCTAGGTACTTACACAGCCTTCAGCACTATAGTATCCGAGCATCTATGAAGTTATTCAAAGGCAAACAGACAACCAGAGGAAGACCAACAATTGGTACCAACTCTGATAGTGGGTTAATGTGAACAAACTTTCACAACCAAGTCATTTAAGGAAGGCCAAACATGATGATAATTTCGGTTATTTAATGATCTGCTAAGAATTTAAATGAGCAACCTAGAGTTGAAATATCTATTTCCTGTAACTCCTCGCTATCTGGTCCTCCTGATGGCTGGGTTGACAAGTAAGGGTTGAAGAACCATCAGCACAGTGGAATTTGTGGCTGTGCATAGCCCATGTTCAGAAGAGTGCTTTTTTTAAAGACAAATTATTTTTTAAAGGTGTTTTTCTTTTTTTCCCCTAGGCCTTCCAAAGCAATCTGTTAAAAACTATTTACCCAGTGAACTGTGTCTTCCAGACTGAGTCCATTGCTAAGATTTACTATCAGTCAGAAAGTGGTATGCAATCTTTGTTTAGTGGGATCAAGTGTCCGCTCTCCTTTGACCTTCAGTGACTGAAAGCTGGAACTAGAAAAATTCAGATTGGAAACCAGGTACAAATCCTTAACACAGAGTGAATTAACCACTGGGAAAGATTCCCAAGGATTATGGGAGATTCTCTAGCACCTAAGTTCTTCAAGTCAAGATTGGAATGTCCTGCAGAGATGGCATGACATATTAATGCTGAAGTCATCAGAGACAATCCACACATTATGTAACTTGAGACAGGAAATCACAGAGTGAAATTCTATGTCTTTGTAGGTATTCAGATTACATCAACAGTTCTGTAATTGTGGGTCAGACCTCACAGTCCCAAGCCCCACTGCCCAAGGCTGAAGCAAAAGTCCGAAGGCTTTAGCCCTGGGCATTGGGACTCAGGCTGCCAGCTTGGGGCGAACTCCTATGAGCTTCAGCTTTGACCCCCTGCCTGGAGTGGTGGGGCCTGGGTTTTGGTCTCCCTGTCCAAAGTAGTGGGGTTGGGCAGTCTCAGGCTTTGGTTCCCTATCCTGGGGTTGTAAAGTAAATTTTGTTGTCAGAAAAGGGTTGTGATCAGTGAAGTTTGAGAACCTTGCTCTAGATGATCAGCATGGTCTGTTCTGCCTTTAATGATCTGTGACTTCAGAGATTATAATTAAAAAAAAAAAGAAAAAGAGCCAAGACTCTGGAGAGCAGTTCAAATGTCTGTCCATTAAGGATGTTAAAATGTGTTTATTCACGTAAACATGTAACCACTGAAATTTTCAGTGGTTACACGTTTACACAGCGGTATGGGGGGAGAAGGGGCAGGTTGCTGGGAGCCAGTGCCCACAGGGAGCTGGCTTAAAGGCCAGCTCCCTGGGTGTACCAGCTCCCTCGGCCTCTCCAGGATGCTGCCTCTGTATCAGAAGTACTGCAGATTTCTCCTTAGATAGCAGATCTTTATTACTGAAACAATATCAATCCAACTTTAGTGCTGCTGGGGCAAGACGAATCAAAGCACCAGAATGAGGAGCTGAGTTCCACTGGAACAACTTACCAAGGAGAATGGGAAAAGCTGTATCAGTGGGTACGTCTAGACTACATGCCTCTGGCGACAGAGGCATATAGATTAGACTACCCGGTAAATTTCCATGGCTGCCGCACTGAGCTGATCAGCTGCTTGTCGGCTCAGCGCGGTAGTCTGGACGTTCCGCGGTCGACATCAAAGGCATTTGTTGACCTCCCAGATATGCCTCCTGGGATAAGGCATACCTGGGAGGTCGAAAAATGCCTTTGATGTCGACCGCGGAGCGTCCAGACTACCGCACGGAGCCGACAAACAGCTGATCAGCTCAGCGCGGCAGCCGTGTAAATTTAAATGAAGTGGCGATTATTTAAATCGACACTTCATTTTCCTAAGCCGGGTAGTCTAATCTATATGCCTCTGTCGCCAGAGGCATGTAGTCTAGACATACCCAGTGACTATAGTGCAGGTCTATGGGGCTGTACAATAAATCAATGCTGTAACAAAACTGCAATAGAGATGCAGCTGAATTTACATGTCTAATATTTGTTTATCAGTATTATAACTTGATGTTAGCTTTTCCATTTCTCTGTTCAGGGCTGAAAGGGAGAAAAAGTTAACAAGCAGTAAACATGTAACAAACACAATGCTCCTCTCCCCACAACGTCAAACATTTTTGCCATGTGGCAAACAGCTCAATGCAGCACTAGCGTCCTTAGAAGGGGTTGAGGATTGATTAAAGTGGTCTTGGGGTGGAAGGATGGGATTGGGAGTCATCTGACAGTTCCCTGCTCAGCTCTGCCACAGACTGAGAATTGCAGACTCTTCTTTCAGCTCTCGGTGTACCAGTTTCTCCATCTTTTTTTTTTTTTTAAATGGTGAGGGAATACTTCTTCTTGCCTATTTCCCAGTGGTGTGGTGAGGCTTCACTCAGTGATGTTTGTTCAGTGCTTTGAGCTCATCAGACAACAGAGGAACAATTAAGACCAGGTGAAAAATCCACACCCCATGAGCAACATAGTTATACTGATCTAACCCATGTTCAGGCAGCATAATGTCAGCAGGAGAGCTTCTTCCACAAACATAGCTATTGCTTCTTGCACAGCTGGATTAAATACACTGACAGGAGACGCTCTCCCCTAGATATAATAGCATCTTCATGTGCAGTGCTATAGCAGGCAGCTATGCTGCTGTACATGAAGACAAGCTTTATATAGAGAGCTATGCTCTCTAAGTGTTAAAAAAATTAGTTTGATGGTCTCAGCATTTGTTCACATGCAGAACTAGCAAACAATTAGTAATCTCAGTGCAGAAGGCCAAGTACAGCAACATCAAAGGTCATATTTGTTATGTGAGAGTTGCATTGGCACAAGTGAGCAGGGAACTTTGCCTATAACACTTACACTCCCAATAGTAGGAGAGCCAAGCTATTTTTTCCCCGGTTAAAAAGTTAGATTTAGAGTTCACTCTGCCAAGAACTTTGTACTGTTGAGTTACGTATTGCACAGCAGAGGATTAATGAATAGGCCTTGTAAGAGAAAAAAAGCTGACAGATGTATTGGAAAAGTCATCTCTACAAGAACAGACAGGCTATGTCTACACTACAACCTATAATCAACATAATTATGTTGCTCTGGGATGTGAATAAACTACCCTCCCCAAGCGACATAAGTTACACTGACATGAGCTTGTGTGCCTGGCACTATGTTGGCAGGAGAACTTCTCCTGATGATGTAGCTTCTGCCACTCATGGAGGTGGATACTTTCTATTCCAGTTCTAGTTCTCTTGTCAATATAGAGCAGTTGTGGCCCACATGCAGCTCTCCCCCACGCTCGTAAAGCTGCCCCTGTGACCCTGAGAATGGCCTTCTGCCTCCCCTGTGCTCGCTGGGGCAGGGGAGCCATCCGGCGCTCCCATATGGCGGCAGCTGGTGGGAGCCTGCGGAGGCCAAAAAGCATAGAAACGTCTCATGCTTCTTAAAGGAGCAGGCCTTTTTTTTGCTCTACAACTCTGCCCCGGCTCTTCGCACTGGATCCACTAATATCTTGACTCTTCATCCGGAATGGGTTGGCCACCCCCGGTATAGAGCGTCTTTATCAATGAGCTGCAGCAGTGCAGCTATATTGGTACAGCAGTGCTGTATATATATTACTGGTCTTAGGTGAAGAATAGAAGGTGGTGAAAGAATGGGTAAAGGATACAAATGAGAAAGATCAGGATCCACTAACACATTTTAAGGAAATCATGATCCTACCCATGGAGATCAGTAAGAAAGAAGAGTTCAATAATAGGAAGGTGAAATATCTGGATCAGGACACATTGCACTGGTTGGATGCAAGTTCAACTATTTTCAACTTTACAGTTGAGTAAACATAGCTTTCATGTTTTTAAAGGCATTTATGAATGCTAGTACTAGGAAATTCTGCAATGAAGGAGCTACTGCAAAGATCTGAATCCATTTTGTTTCACTTATTTATTCTGAGCATGCCTTTGGAGAGAGGAGCAAAAGGGAATGGGGCACAGAGTCATGGGAACCCCATGTTTTCTCACCTGTGTAGAAAAATTCTTCTCTCTCTGCTGCTGCAGCACATAATGCTTCTGTACTAGAAGTACTAGCAGAGCGATGAAAAGAAAAAAGAAAAGTACAAGAGCGTCCAGGTTCTGATCTTGACTACACCATTATCAATCCAAAGTAAATTGACTGAAGTTACTCTGGATTTAAATCAGTTTAATGGGAGATCAGCATCTGGCCCAACATACAGATGACTTGTTAGCACCAGCCAACTTTCCTTGTACACTTAAGTTTCTTACATGTGACATTAACCTCTAACAAGGCTCATTACTGAGGTTCTCCTATTTAATGCAGACTTGGCCCAAGAAAAAACAATTTTTGCGGGTGTGTGGCATAGTAGGCTGAGGCGATTTGATCTATACTTACAGGTAGAGCCACAATTTTTGCTCCTTGTGCTGCTGCTTGTTTTACCAGTCCACATGCTTTATTCAGATTATCTGATTTGACAGCAGATACATGATGTTGGATTAGCGCCAGACGGAAGTCTAAAGACAGAGAAGACAAATAACCAGCATAGCTAAAACTTCTAAATTAGTGTTTTTTAAAATAAATTGAATAAGTATTAAAATTTGCACTTGTCCTGATGTACTTAATTACTTCACAAACTACTTCCAAATAAGTGCCTGAAGGATCCTGCAGCCACCTCTGGAGAGACCACTTTACCGAGAGTAGTGATAGCCAGCCCTTCCACTAGGTAGGAGCTGCACACCACAAGACTTCAGTCAGTTTAACACCCTTAAACTGAAATGTTAATTCAAAGTGGACAAGCCTATAAAAAAACCCCCACTAAATACTGGATTGCAAAATCCTGTATAAGGAATGGGGAGGTTTTTATGTATACAAGGTCAAAAGTGACAGTTTAATAGTGTTTGAAGTGTTCCTGCCGCCATGTCTGTCCCAGGATATGAGAAGCAGGGTGGGTGAGGTACTACCTTTTATTGGACCAACTTCTGCTGGCAAAAAAGATACAAAATTTCAAGCTCCATAGAGCTCTTTTTCAGGCAAATTACACATATGGCAAGAAGTCATTCAAAATGAACTGGGCAATTGTTTCTTGTAACATGCGCGATGCCTTTTATGTTTAACAATCTGTTTCACCTTGTATTTAAGCTGTGACGTTGAGTACCTTTCCCAGATCAGAAGAAAAACTAAGTGGACCGTAACAGGTTGGCTGCCTCTCTCACTAACAGAAATCGATCCAATAAAAGATATGACTTCACCCACCTTGTCTCTTTCAGTTTAACAGTGGTCAGATGCCAGTCCTAATGGTGCTTTTCTTGTCTTTTCTATTTCACAACTGGTCTCTTCTGAATCTGCTTCTTTCCTCCTACCTTCTCTGCTTAAGAATTACCTTATTGGAACTTATAAGACAGTGATACTGAATGCATATTTTGGGCTAAACACAAAGTCTTATATAATATTAATGGCTTATTTTCTTCTCATCCATAACAGACCTAGCAAAATTACTGTTAGATGCATCTCCGCATTACAGATGACACATGGTTATCCCCTATCAAGACAAAAGATTGACTCAGGAGTTACACAGTAATGTTAGTGTATGCAGTGGGAAAGCAGAACTGTGCTTGTTTGAATTTCTACTAGAAGAAACCTTTCAGGGTCCTCTGAATTATGTCAGCTAGACAGGGATTCTCAATCTTTTTCTTTCTGAGGCCCACCCCAATACGCTATTAAAATTCCACTGCCTACCTGTGCTACAAGTACTGTTTTTCTGCATATAAAAGGAAGGGCCAGAATTAGGAGGTAGCAAGCAGGGCAGTTCCCCAGTGCCCCATGCCACAGGGGGTCCTGCAAAGTTAAGTTGCTCAGTCTTCGGCTTCCACCTTGGGTAATGGAGCTCATGGTGGCAGGGCTTCAGCTTTCTGCCATGGTCCCCACTGAGTCTAATAATGCCAGTCCTGCTTGGTGGCCCCCTGAAAACTGCTTGTGGCTACCCAGAGATCTTCAGATCCCTGGTTGAGAGCTGCTAGGCGAGCAGATTTCACTGTGGGTTTTTTTCTAGCCCACCAGAAACTCTACAAAGCCAGTGCAGCAACTGTCTACGCTACCACGGCATAGCTGCAGCTGTGCTGACCGTAACATACCTTCAAAGACCTTCTTCCAACTTTAGTTACTAATAAAGTAAGCCACATTCCTAAAATGCTAAAGGTCAAGTAAACAATAAAATCCTCACTATGCTACAGTTCACAATGGAGATGGCTTTAATATTTGGTTTATTGAGTAAATAAAACTTCACTGAAAATTTAGACGGACACCAAAGCTTTCAACTTCATCAACTTTAACAATTGTCAAAAGTGTGTGGTGTTCTGAAGTCCTTCCTCAGAAAATTCAGGAGAATCATTTTAGAAAATGTACTTGCCGAAATAAAAACTTTATACCTCAACAATCTCAATTATTCAGACAGACCAGAGAGTGAGAGAGAGAGAGGGTGCACATGCAAACAGTACAGAAATTGAATAGCCTAACATGGTCTTATGAAAGACCAAAGCTAAATAAATTTGAGACAAAGTGTTTGAAAACACATATTCAGAACTACCAATATATATCACAATAACATTCTATTATTCTCCCACTAAGTGCAGGATGCACAAGCCTGCTTAATCATGTGTGTCTTTAATATTTCATAAAGGAACAGCCTGTGAAATGGGTTGAAGGGTTAAAATCATCAACATCTAACACACCTGGTCAGATCTGGCAGCATCCAAACACACCATATAACAAGAACTAGGCATGAAAAGAAGAGAACAGATACAGTAAATTACAGACTCAATGAGCCACTTTCCCCCCTCCCAGTACATAACTGAATATGGTTTGCTAGGGGTTTGGAGAAGAAAAAGAAAGTAGCAAAACCAGAAGGCTTAGGGGACAGGTGCTGGATCAGGAAGCCATGCGGGGAGGGGGGGGGAGGAGGAGATGGCAGGGCAGCAGGTGTGGGGGGATGCTGTGAATAGCAGAAAGCCAGGGGCACCCACTGGAGAAGAAAGAGGCTAGGGGTAGTAAGAAGAGGGAGGAAAATGTTATGGTGGAAGGAGGAAGCCAGGAGCCCCATAGAGGGAGAAAGAGGTTGTGGGAAGCAGACAGAGGGGAAAGGTGCTATGGGGGAAAAGAAGCCAGGGGCCTCACAGAGGTGTGTGTGTGTGTGGGGGGGAAGATGGGAGGGCAGCAAGTGGGGAGGGGAGGAATGGAGTGTGTGTGGGGGGGAAGATGGGAGGGCAGCAAGTGGGGAGGGGAGGAAAGGAGCTGCTGTGAAAAGCAGGAAGCCAGGGGCCCCATAGGAATGGGGAGCAGCGGGTGGGGGGGGGGC